TAAAGTAATTTATTTCTGATTTAATAATATAATTATTTATAAAAATAATAATTAACTATTCTGTTAGAAGTCATCGATTATCATAATTATATTTTAGAGTTTTTATTAAAATAAAATGTTTATCTTGTATTTAATTACGTTTATTTACAGTTAGTTACACTAATTCAAAATGGAGTTTTATAAGTTATACTTATGTACAATTTACTTGTAATCTAGAATTTTAAGTAATATGCATTTATTAACGGTACTTCATGTTTATCTTGTATCTGATCAAGTGTTCAGATATGTTTTTACCTTTCTTACCATAACTTCAATTCTCGCACAATCATTTGCCTATTGATACACACACACACACACACACACACACATAATAGACTAGTATATAATATATAGAGAATAAATAAAAATTTATCGAAGTTTTATATATTTGCAACAGGTTGGGTTGGGTTAAGCTAGGTCAACTCAATTTTAACCCTTTTAATTGGCGATAGCGGTTTGACGAGTTGGGTTGGGTGGGTTGAACGATTTGACGAATTTTTATACAGTTTTATTAAGTTAGTTAGAGGAATCAAAAGTAAAACAAAATGATAAATACATTAACCAAAATTGTAATTAATTTCAAAGAGATACAAAACTTAAGTGTGAGCTACAACCACCACACAAAAAATATAATTTAGTCTATTTATTTTTATAATTTAGTCTATATAATATTAAAGTAAATTACATTTTTCATCCTCATGGTTTGTTAAAATTTACAATTTTCATTCTGGTAATTTAAAAATTACAATTTTCATCTCTATAATTTATAATTTATTGTTATTTTTGTCCTGAGCATAACTGCTACCTTTAAGTACAAGGAACTAAAAAACAAAGAATTGTAAACCATAGGAACCAAAACACAATTAGTATAAACTATAAGAACAAAATAACAATGAATTGCAAACCATAAAGACGAAAAATCCAATTTTCAAAACCACCGAGACAAAAATTGCAATTGTTTACAAACACAGGGACTAAAAATGGAATTTACTCAAAAAATCATTTCAAGAGTAAATAACAAATTTTGGTCTATGTGATTGGCACTCAAACACTCTTATCGTTTCTACTCTTTCTTTTTAAGTTAATTACAATTTGATCACTGTGGTTGTTATTTTGTTTCACTTTTGGTCATTGTGGTTGTCATTTTGTTTTCATTTTGGTCCATCTCACTAACTGTTGTTAAATAAGTTTGTAAATTGAAACAAAAAACCATATTCATTCTTGTTTTTTATTACCTTTTGGAAAAAGAAACGAAAAAATAATATAAAGCCCGACAAATCAAACTGAAGTGAAGCCAAATCTGAAACCTAAGACATCTTTTGCAGAACAAAATCCACGTATCTAGTTTCATGTTTTGCAATCAAACCGAGAAGGAAAACCAAATTTGAAACTCGAGATCTGTCTTCTAGAGAATAAAACCCACAAATCTGGGTTCTGCATTTTGCAGATTGTCGAACAAAACCCATAGATTTGGGGTGGGGAAGATATGTGCGCGTGGGAGAGAGAGAGAGAGAGAGAGAGAAAGGGTTGATTTTGTGATCGTGAGCGTGAGAACGAAACCCACATATTTGGGGAGGGTTTTGTGTTCGTCGAACGAAACCCATATTTTCGAAGATCAAGGTCGAAACACAACGATCGTGAATTCCTTCTTCTTTTCTGGGTTCCTAATCATGGTCATTTTCTGCAATATTGTTATTGTCGATATGATTTAAGAGATGGTTTAAACAAAAAAAACCGAAGGTAAAAATAAAAAGACTAAGAGGCCGTTTATCAAACAATTACCTGATAAACACTTACCAGTAAAATTCAACACTATTACTTACTTACAAGGTAAGATTTTAGTTCACAAAAACGACATTGTATACAACAATTTTCCCTGTAAGCGCTAACCGTGGTAAGAGTCGTTGCTCTCACTTACCGGATAAGACTCTTGGTACTTGCCTCGCTCTTATCGGGTAAGATTTTTGATCATTTGTATATTCATCCGGTGAAGTAAATGTGACTTGTTAAGTGCTTACCCCTGTAAGCATTTAGTAAACGACTCCTAAATTAGGGATGCTCATGGGTTGGGTTGATCGGGTTGAAAACATTTGAACAATCCAACCCAATGTTTGCGGTTTGAAAAATCTTAACCCAGCCCAAACCAAGTGCAACCCAACCCAACCGTACGGGTTTGTCGGATTGATACTTTGATACACTAAAATATTATTCTAACCTTGAATATGTTATTTCTCTACTCATAATGTCTTTTTCATTGTCAACCATTTGATACAACTTATCCATATTTCTTATGTATATTGCATTTAGTTAATTTTCTCAATTTACATATATATGTTCACAGTTACTGAACATGTATATAAATAAGTTATATAAAGATGTGAATATATTGGAAATATGTGTATATGAAAAACATACATGATATTGTAATTGTCTAATGTATATATTAATAGAAATTCAACAATCATATTAAATCCAAGAAATAAAAGTATATCGAGTTCATCGGGTTGGGTTGGGTTCAAATAATAGTAATCCAATATCAACCCAATACCTACGGTTTGATAATTTTACAACTCGATTAGACATCAGGTTGCTTCGAGTTGGATTGTTTTACATTGGGTTGATCGGGTTGGTCGGGTTTTTGAGCATCCCTACCCTAAATTGCTCTTGAGTTAACATACTTTTTTTAACCGGAGTTGATTAGAGGATCAAATGTAAAATAAAATGACAACTACAATAACCAAAACTGTAATTAATTTAAAAAAAACCGAAATTTAGTTTTATTTCATTGATGTTGATGGGTTCAAAAACCCTTAAATTCCAGAGCAGATTCAGCATTTCTTTCTCCAATGTAACAAACATACGTTTTCATCTCCAATGCAGCCATTCATCTCATCTCTCTCGCCTCCTCATTCTCGTAAACCTGCAACCTTACACTCTCGTCTCCTCTATCGTTCCGTTTTCTCGGCCTGTTTACGGATCTTGAGAACTAGATCTACTGCCTCTTTCGCTTTCTCATGGCGGATCTGGTGATTTCTTCTTCTTTCTCTCTTAAATCTGAGGTTCGTGTAAATTATTTTGAGATTTTTTTACGAAGTTTTGGAAATGTAGATATCAATTATCGTTATCTCTCGTTTCTCCTTCTTAATCGATCTGTAAATTTGTATTTGTTACTAAATTTTGCGTACAAAAACCCTAAATGAAGTGTGGATCTGATAAATCTTACCTCAAATTAATGGTGATGAAACCTCAAATATGTATTGTCTCAATGCTTCTGTTTTCTTTGATTTTCGTTTGTAATATATGTACATACATACATACATATATATATATATATATATATATACATATATTGTTTATCAGTGTTAATGTTTGTAAATTTTCAGCTAGATTATACATCAGTTGCATCAACACTCAAACAACTTCATTTTTTGTTGCAGGAATCATTTTCAGGAATTTTAACAGATAAAAGTGGAAAAATAAATCAAAACAGGACTTGGAGTTGGTAAAAAAATTTAAAAAAATTTAAACAAATAAAAACTAAAGGATTAAAAACGTGGAAAAACTGTAGTAAGTAATACTAAAAATAAATAAAAGAAAAGCTATTTAATAAAAAAAGAAGCACTCCAATTGGATATCTCTTGAACCATTTTAATAAAATTCAAAATAAATAGAAAGTATAAAAGAAATAAAAAAAATAAATTAGAAAAAATGTCAGTGACCGGAAGTTGGCATAAATTACACGAATAGTTTCAAATATTGATATATTTGAAATGAAAATTAATAGGTAGAAATGCTATAAGAATGTATTTAATCTACCCTTAATATAAATATGTTATGCTGCATCTACATTGGTCACATCATATGTGAGAGCGTTCATAATGTCAACCATCCCCACTTCGCCGGCCACTGCTGTGGCGTCCCTGCTTCACACCTCCCAACTCCTCCGCCGCACCATCTTTAACCGTATATTTGCCCTAATATATGCTACCGGCATCTTAGCGTTGCTCTACCGCCACCTACTTACACTSYGCCATTCCACCACATTCAYCKMCGCYGCCAYCACSRCCACTTTCTTGATCGCCGACCTTGTTCTTGCCTTCATGTGGACAACGACCACCTCCTTCCGCCTCTACCCGACCACTCGGAAAGTCTTTCTGGAGAATCTTGAGAAGGTCTTGGAGAAAAARGATTTTCCRGCRCTGGACATATTCATTTGCACGGCGGATCCCTACAAGGAGCCGCCAATGAATGTGGTGAACACGGCATTGTCTCTGATGGCTTACGACTACCCACCGGAGAAGATCTCGGTGTATGTTTCCGACGATGGTGGCTCCGAGCTTACTCTCTTTGCTTTCATGGAGGCTGCAAAGTTTGCAAAAATTTGGCTGCCGTTTTGTAGGGATAATAACATCGTCGATAGATGCCCGGAAGCCTTATTCCAATCAAATGACGTTACATTTTTAGACAGCGCTAAGATCAAGGTACAAAAACCATCATGTATTAAAACTTGTACTTTCATCCTTTACATTGTTTATTAAATTAAGTAGTTGTAACGTTAATTAATACTAATATTATTTATCAAGATATATATTCGTTTTTTCAATAATTACCATTTTTTTTAAATTTGGTCATTCGGCTCTGTCTTTTTTAATTGTTTTCAAATAGGTTACACTGGGTTCTTTTGGTTTGGTTTTATATAATAGTTACGAGATCGCAGGCAATGTACGAGAACATGAAATTAAAGGTTGAAAACATAGTCGAGAGAGGGCAAATAAGCGCAACGTATATTGCCAATGAAGATGAACGCAAAGTGTTTGATATATGGAGCCAGGGGTTCACTTGTCTCAATCATCCGACTGTTATTGAGGTCGTTTTTTGAATCCTTAATATTCTCTTTTTCTTCTACTATTTGTAACATCGTCTTTTTGCATATTTTTGTAATAAATTGATCGTTTGTTGAAGCAGGTTTTATTAGAAAGTGGACAAGAAAGTGACATAAAAGGGCATCCAATGCCAAATCTGATATATGTATCTAGAGAAAAAAGCAAGACCTCCCCACACCATTTTAAGGCAGGGGCCCTTAATGTCCTGGTAAGTATTTTCGAGTCACGATGGTAACAAGACGGATTTTTATGTGTTTTATGTTAATCAAATAGTATATAAAATGCATAAAAACCATCATGTTAACAGATTTATACGAGCCTTATATCGTTTTAGGGTAATCGGGTTCGGTGGGAATAATAGCTTTAACTTTGTGGATGGGATTTTATGGTGAATAGGCTTTTATTTTGACTTTGTGGTTTTGTAGCTTCGGGTTTCGGCTGTAATGACAAATGCACCGATAATCTTGACTCAGGATTGCGACATGTATTCAAATGATCCGGAAACGCCCAAACGGATGTTATGCTTTTATGCTCATCAATCGACACGTTACAATTTAGGATACATTCAATTCCCGCAACGGTTTCATGGRATAAATRGTGCRGAYATTTATGGCAGYGAGTATAARCGTCTCTATGTGATCAATCCCGGGGGAATGGATGGTCTCCGAGGCCCGTGTTATGTTGGGAGCGGTTGCTTTTTTGTTCGTCGAGTGTTCTTTGGTGGCCCGTCGTCGCCCGAATTGCCGAAAGTCCGTCAACTCCGGCCTGATAATGTAGTCAAAAAGCCCATTAGAAGCCGACAAGTTCTAACTTTGGCCCATGAAGTTGCGAGTTCGAATTATGAAAACGGTTCTTTTTGGGGATCGAAAGTGAGTTGAAGAACCCATTAAATTTCGTCATTCATTTTGTTTGCCGAATGCTTATGTTTCATATTTTATCATTTTATTGTTTCAGATGGGGTTCAGATACGGGTCGTTGTCTGAAGATTTTTTTACGGGCCTCCACCAACACTGCAAAGGATGGAAGTCGTTATTCTTCCATCCCAAGAGGCCTGCGTTTTTGGGGGACTTGCCAATCTCCCTCTATGATGCACTAAACCAGAATAGAAGGTGGTGCATCGGGCTACTAGAGGTTGTATTTTCAAAATACAATCCATTAACATTTGGATCTTACTTTATGGGACCTCTAATGGGCCTTGCTTATTCACACAATGCGTTCTGGCCCATTTGGTCGATCCCGATTATCATATACTCGTTCGTCCCACAACTAGCTCTTCTCAACCGTCTATCTGTCTTCCCACAGGTATGTGTACATGTTAACTGACGTTTTCGATTTCCAGTTGTCTTAGAAAGCATTAAATTTTGTGATGATTGAAATGCAGGCCACAAATATTTGGTTTCTTCTGTATGTTTTTCTCTTTCTTGGGGCCAACATACAAGATTGTTTTGATTTCATGTCGGCCCATGGGACATTGCGACAATGGTGGAACGATCAACGGATGTGGCTCATACGTGGTCTCACATCGTACTTTTTCGGGTTCATGGAATTCTCGATCAAACGTCTCGGAATCGCATCAAAAGGGTTCCTTGTGACGAACAAAGCAGTTGACGGTGAACAAAGCAAGCGATACGATAACGGGGTCTTCGAGTTCGGTGTTCCGTCGCCAATGTTTGTGCCTTTAGCAACGGTTGCGATCGTTAATGCCGTCGCGTTTGCTTTCGGGATTGTGCAAATTATAGAGGGAGGAAATATAGATGGGCTTTTTGGGCAAATGGGCTTGGCTTGTTTAGGGGTAGTGAACTCCTGGCCCATTTATGAAGCCATGGTGTGGAGGAGTGATAAAGGGAAAATGCCTAGGGTTATAACCGTAATTTCAACGTTTGTAGCATTGTTTTTGTGCACGTTGGTTTTGGTGGTACCAAATGCGTAGTATGCATTAATGACTTGTACTTTTGAAGGTTATCAGGGTACAACCACTATTGCGTAACCGAAATATTCATTGGCTCATTGGCATAAGTTTGACGGTACCATCACAAATTCCGACAAAACATAGAGGGAGATCGATGCCAGAGTTTAACGACAATGATGGGGAGCAGACACGATGGGGCTGCAAGGGTTGGCGGGGGGAGCGATGACGTTAGATTCGTGGAGTTTGTATGCCGTAAGGTTTGAGAACGATAAAACTGATTTAAGTTTTTCTTACTTTAAAATCTTTTTAGCCAGTTATATGTAGTTTTTTTGGGTTAAAATGATGTAAATAACCAATTTGTAAATGTTCGATCGTCTATTTGTTTAAAAGAATGTTTTAGGACTTAATCATTTAAAATAAGAAAGTTCAATGATTCATTCAAAAAATACGTTAAGGTACTTACTCTTTCAAAATGGGGAAGTCTATTGGGGTTTTATAATCTTTTTCGTAATTTAAAACTTTGGTACAATAAGTTCATAAACTCTGAGAAAAAAATGCATCATGTGTTATTTCATATGATTTTTTCCATCTATGTTAGAATTTAATGTAGTGATTAACATATATTTGTCTATAAAGTGTTTTATTTTACATACACTTGATTAACAATGTGAAATAAATATATGTTAATTAATGATATTATAATTTTTAGTAAAACATATTTGATTAAATTTACAATATTTAAATGATAAAAATATTAAAATTAAAAGTACATGCTCTAATAGAAATTGGTGATGTTATAATGAAGTAATTTAGAAAGTACAATGATATAACAGCAAATGTCATGTCAACATTATCGTATATGTGGACAGCCTACGTGGATGATAAGATGACAAAGAAACATGGTATAATGAATAAAATTTTGAAAGTAGGATATCCTAATAATTAATATTTTGTAAGTACATTGCTGTAATAAGAAAAACTGAAAGTATAATATTATCATAAAAAAATTTGTAAAAGTAGATTGATATTTCATGCAATTTACCAAAAAATAATAATAGGGTTGTATTTTCCTCATAGAAGCCTAATTGCATTATGCCAATTTTAAAATGTCAAATTATTATGTAATTTGCAGAGGAGGTAGGGTAACTCGATGATATCCAAATATTTATATCAATATATATACATTACACTGAATAAGAATCATATCAAAATATACACTTGGTGCCTAAATATTTGATATTTCACATTTAAGATATCATAATGAATGTTATCGAAGTACGATATAGAAAATAGATATTTGAATAATAATAAATTTTCGGTGCATTAAGGGTGTGTTTGGTCTACAGGACAAGACAAGATAGAACAACTGTTCAATATTTGGTAAGATAAAACTGGACATAACACAACAAGTAAAATGACCAATTTACTCTTATTGAGTTGTTTATTTTAACTAATTTATGTAATTTATTAAATTATAATAAAATAATTATTTTTCATAACAAAATATATATTTGAAAGTTTTCGTCAAAACAATCAAAATGACACCAAATAAATAGTTTATGTAGTTTCCAATTTTTATTTTTATCTCTTTTCTACATTATTTTTTTATTATTAATATATAATAAATTACATAAATTAATAAAATATAGAAATCATATGAAAATAATATTTTGAGGACAGTAAAATGAAAGTTTAAGAAACATAAAATACAATAAATAAAATTTAAAAAATGAATAAAATTTAAAAAGAAACCTATTTGATGTTTTAGAAGAAAATTAAGTTCTGTTTCGAAGATATATTGGTAAAATATATATTATGTTCCATTTCGTTCATGTCTGTTCCACATAAAATTCATGCCAAACATGAGACATAATCCCTGTCCTATCCAATGTACCAAACGCACCATAAATAAACATATAATATCTTTAGACTTGTGGTAAAACTTTGTTTCTTGAAGCTAGAGGTTTTTGGTTCGAACGTTTTTCAAGCTTTTGGACCCGATTTTGACTCGTTTCTTGTTCTTCTTCCCACTACTAGAAAACCAGGTATCAGCGACGACTATCAGCGAGGGAATTTTTCCCTCGCAGATCAGCGAGGGATCAGCGAGGGAA